CTGACCTGCTTGACAGCAATGCTGACTCTGACAGAGTTGATGGAGCCCTCAATCAGAACTTTCTCCTTTTCATTGCGGCTGATGATGACCGGCTGGAGAAGCAGTTCTTTGCTACTCCTAAAAGTGGAGGGAGGATTCAAAAATCACTTTTTAATGTCCATTTTTTGTATTATTATTATTCTTAGTACAGTTTATGGTTGCGATACTTCAATGATGAGCTCACCTCACTTCCACTTCTGGCTTGTTGTGTCTCTCCACCACTTGTGAGGAGAAGTTTTCCAGACAGAGGGCAGCCTGCAGAGTGGCTCGCACCGCATTTAGATATGGTCGCAAAGTGGCGGTCTGAGGAAGTCCACATGATCATAATGACCACATCATTTATCATAGAAACTCCTACTGGTGACATCGTCACTGGGCCAAGAGCCAACGTTACGAGTCCTTTTTAGTGTCATTTCACTTAATAAAACTTCTATGTTACTGTTAAGCCTCTTGTGCGACGTCATTAGAAATGATTTATTTTATGACTAATATTATTATCTGACTAATATACCATGCATACGAAAACACTGCAACACATTCACCTTTTTAGGGCTTTTTAGAGTAACAAAGAGGAACCGTACGTGTGTACTTTAAGACATCAGAGCAGAACCTTGTTTGGAAATATATTGTACTTTGTGTTCGTGTGTTAAGATAAGAAATGATATGTCAGACATAGTACATGAAAATGCGTTTTTGTTTTTTGTTTTTTCAAAGAAATGCATCTCATCATCACACAGATGTTTATCAGTCTCGTCGGTTCGTACCACCAGTTTCAGCTACTGGTTCTTTAGTTAATAATTTTTTTTGTTGAGTTGTCGTCTAGTTTTATCATTTTAATGACGACTATAAAATAATCCCCTTGGGTTTTTTTTATTATTATTAATCAGGAAATACACCGACTAGCGTTAGCATGTGAGCTAACTAACGCTTTGCTAGTTTGAAATGAACACACTCACTCAATAAAACGCGCTACCGTTTCGGTCACACGGGTATTTGTAGCAGGTAAATAGTTACACTATTGTTTTTGTAACATTTAACCCCAAAAATGTTCAGTTTATCTTACCATTTCGCTGTCTGTCTGTGTGTGTGTGTTCCTCAGCAGGGGTGGCTAAAGGCGGAAGCAGCGACGCAGAACACCGGAATTCCGCACTCTAGTGTCGCCGAGCAGCAACAGCGAAGCGGAAATGAACAAACACATTTTATGTGTTACAATTTACGTTATGTTCTAATAACTTTCTTGCCCATTCGTGTTTCATTAATTATTAGGGTGAAAAGTGTAAGGAGCTACAGCTTCTAGTGATACTGCGTTTACACTTTTATTGTCAGTATTCTGCGTGTAGTCTTATTTAACCGTTGTATTTTCATTTCCTCGAGGTAAACACGATTCCTGTCGACCTCGTTTCGATCTAACGTAAACTCCAACCGCCACCATGAGTGTTTTGTACAATTTTACCAATTCTCTCAAGTTCAGCTTAGCCATTGTCTCTATGGTATTAAAGCTATTCTGTTTCCGAAGCAGTGTTTGTTTAAATAAATAGAATGTTATATATATATACAACAGTCTTCCTCCCTTTTACCTTTAAGATTATTTATTTGTCTATAAGTGCAAGAAAAAGGTAAGTAAAAGGATGATAGTCTTTATGTGTGGCCCTGCCACATTGTCGTTTGTCCAGGGTGTGGCGCCAGTGTGTTCTGTTGAGTCATAGATATGAGACATGTAAATTAGTTTGTTTTTGTCAGGAGTGATGTGCATCAGGATGATTGTTGCAAAAGCTATATACATTTATATATATATGGATAAAAATGACACCACACCACTCATGTATTCAAGAGAGTTTATTTAAGATCCCAATTTTCGTTATAACATCATTGATATTGCAGTGATTTTCAACCACAAGGAGGCATAATACCAGGGCAAAATGTTGGATTTTAAATGTTAAGAGAGACAGCATTGATTTTTTTTTGTTCAATCAATCAGCTTTTTTTTATCTTTATTGTCTATACACCGTAATACACAATCCATTAAAAATATTAAGTACTTAGCCAACCTGAGCTACAAGCAGATAGAGAGGGAACAGCAATAACAGAGACGTGACAGAAGGCAGACAGATGTATGCTGAGTTAGTGACACGTACTGGAAGTTCACAGCATTCAAAGATGTCTAAGGAAGGACGCAACACATAACAGCGGTAATAGTAGCAGAACAAGTAATGTTACATAAAAGGCAAGTATTAATATATATTGAGAATCGATCCGCGTTTCATACTGTGACCGCAGCGTCAGCTTTAACATTTCAGGTTTCCTATGAGAATTTTCATCTGCGCCGTTTAAACGTGGAGCCACAGATTTTGCAGCTTGGTTTCTGATGAGGAAACGAAGCGGGTTCACCTGAAGGCGTTGGGAGAAGATGTTGCCCAAAATCAGACATCCCACAATAAAGCTTAAAAGGCACAGACATAAAAAATAAAGAAATTAAGTATCTCTGATTGGCTTAATAAGCAACCAACTGAGAAAACATACACAAATCTATATATATTTATATATATTTATACACAAACACACATACTTCTATAATGAAGAGTTCAATTGGATTATTTTATAAAGAAAAGGCAATGGAAAGTGGAAAGCAAACAAAACTAAAAGCAAGAAAGTGACACATGGAATGCTGACATTAGCCAACATCGCCTCACATTACTGAGCAGCAGCAGCAGCCGGTCCAGTCCAATCATAGATCCTAATTACTCTCTTACCACTTGGTGCCATCACATCCCCTCGGTGTGACCATTGGGAGGAAGGGTGGGGGTGGGGGAGGGCCACAGTCAGATCACTGGGTGGGCTGGACAGGATACGACTCATTAGTCAAGTCAAGAACCATGAGGTCAGAAGAGGGCGCCGTTCTCTATTTTGTGATCTTTGGGCACTAGTTTTTGTAAGCGCGCTTTACCAGAGTACACTAGTGTATTCATTCGTGTACTAGGTGGGGGCCGGGGGTAAATCCATGTGTGCAGTACTGAGTGTGTGGGGGTGTGTTGGTGGAATGATCAGTGGTGTGATAGAGGAAGACCAGCGGGGGATGAGATTCCCCCTCAAAAGCAAGGTGCAGGTGATGGAACCAGTGACTGGGTGGTTCAGAAAAGCCGGGAAGAGAGAAGGTGGTCCGAGTTGTCCTTCAGCAGCTGCAGCTTCCTGC